GATCTCAAAGCTTCGCAGACATACCCAATAGCGTTGCCAGCATGGTTTCAATATCGGATGTTTGCAATTTGTTAGCAGCTTCGGACGGGTCTACGGGGAGTCAACAATCGCACCCAATCCCGTGAAGTTCTGTGAATTGTATGATGCTCTGTAGCCGCTAGCCCTTCAAGCCCCAAACCTATCCGAGGTTCGGCCGTGCACTAGCTCGATTGAGGACCACGCACTCACGGCGTGTGAAGAGAAGCATCCGTAGCTTCCTGCGCAAGCGTCGTTCTTGCAAAGCAAGACACGATGGGGGTGAAGAGAGTCTAGAATGGTTCAGGGAAGCTCGCTTGAGGCCACTAATTAAATACCTCAGGGGTCAACAGTTGTGTTGAAGCTGCTTTGCAATTCGTGATACTTGCCTCTAACAAGAAGCAGCTTCTGCTTTAACAGCTCGGAGTGGGGCTTGGGGTCTTGCTGGAAAAAGAAGAAGTTTGTCGCTACTCTCGGTTTAGGGAGCCTGCTATCCTTTCGGGTGCTGAACTTCCTATGATCATGTGCAGTCATAACCCACAAAGCAAACAAAACTCACAAAACGCCATCAAACATAGTCTGCTTCGATGCTTCGATCTTAAGGTTTGGGACTTTGGGGTCTTGACGGCCTTACCTACCTACCTACCTACCTANNCCTACGTACCCACCTACCTACCTACCGACCTACCGACCTACCTACCTACCTACCTACCTACCTACCTACCTAACTACCTACCTGCCTACCTACCTACCTACCTACCTACCTACCTACCTACGTACCGACCTATCTACCTAACTACCTACCTACCTACCTACCTACCTACCTACCTACCCACCTACCTGCCTACCTACCTACCTACCTACCTACCTATCTACCACTATCAGCCCACCGACCTGCCACCGAGGGACCTGCTACCTACCTACCATTCCACCTACCCACGCAAGCACCTACCTATACACCTACCAGCATACTTCCATACGTACCGACCTAAGGATGAACTCCGTTCACACTCAGGTGTTTCTTGAGCAACTGTAAGAGGAATGATCTGTAGAGTCGAGTATACGATCCATGTTTTCATATTACCCGGATGGTTGTCCTGGCCGGGCACAGAATCGATGTTCCCTGCCTTAGACCTACACCTTTTCCTATACCTATGCCTATACCTCTACCTATACCACATGCAACACATACACATGCATGCGTACCCTCAGCCCTAGAATCCTAGAAGCCCTAGAAAGCCTACACTCCTTAGATCCTATAGACCCGAAATGCCCTGAAGCCCTACGTTCGAAACCTTCAGGCTAAAGCTGTGCCTGCCTTATGGCGCGAATGTGATCGTCGTAAACCCTAAAAAGGCCAAAATCCGAACAGCACCCTTCAGCCCTAAATCCGACAAGCTCCAAGGTTCCATTTCCTGTAGCTTTAGCTGTTTCATACTTCAATCAGACATTCGGCGGCAGTAGAACCTTCTGAGAGTAGCTATAAGGTATATAAGGTATATATGTAGGATATGAGGTATAAGGCAGAGGTGCATATATGGGTGCTACAGTAGAGGTTCTATAGGTTGTAATATGAGTATATAAGTATATAGGTTTATATGAGTGTACACAGGTATGTATATACATATACATATATAT